GTCACTGCATTTCCTTCAGAAACGGCCTTTGCCATTACAGGGGTATTAGTTCCCTTTGAAGTGAGAGAAGCAGCAGTGGGTACATCTGTCTTTAGGTCCAAGGACGTTTTTTGTGTAGATCGCCTCTCCTGGATAGAGAAGCATCTCCAGCACAGAAAAATGGATCAAGACAGTCAGTAGCCTTTCTACTTTAACATTTTCCTGAAGGATGCTGGTCTGAGCCTGCTTCCTGGTTGGTTGTAATCTTTAACATTAGATGGAACTGAATTTGGAAATCAAAATGTGACTTTTGGAAAAAAATAAATTAGGATAATAATAATTAAAATAAATATTAGGATATTCTGATGCTATCCTTGCAGAAAGAAGATTACATTATAGGCAATTTAGTGAAAACTGAGGTTTGGAACTCTCCTGAGGCATGCATGGTTGGGGTGCTATTGATGCTGGAGGCTGGTTCCAAGAAAAAAAATTACCTACATGAATTATATAATCTCGTTCTGCAAAAGACAAATTAAACAATCCATAAAAGGCAATGAAGAAAAGGTGGTAATTGATTTGAGTGGTTTTAAAGATTTCATCAATTAGAAAAACCCACAATTGATTCGATTTCTTTAAAATAGTAATATTTTTCATTCTTTAGAAAACATGCATTGTTGGTTTTGAATTTTTTTTAAAGCTGTGGACCATAGTTCTTCAATGGTGGCACTGACTAACACAAATAGCATAGATAATAAGATAGGCAGCTAAGTCTGATGTTGTTCAAGAATATTGTATCATGTGTCTGCTGATTGTAACACAAAGTCATTTGTGATAATGTGATCCAAATGGATTAAGATATGAGGATTCTGGTTGTAACACAGGGCACTCAGACCAGAGCCAGTAGTGATGACTCAGAACATCACAAATCTATGCTACGACCTCTAAAACAAAGTAAAATCTAAAGGATTTATCTTGCTGAACTGAATGATAACCTGAGTTAGAGAGATAGTAGGAACTGCAGATGCTGGAGAATCTGAGATAACAAGGTGTAGAGCTGGATGAACACATCAGGCCAAGCAGCATCGTAGGAGCAGGAAGGCTGACGTTTCGGGCCTAGACCCTTCATCAGAAATGGGGGAGGGGATGGGGTTCTGAAATAAATAGGGAGAGAGGGGGAGATGGATAGAAGATGGATAGAGGAGAACATAGGTGGAGAGGAAACAGACAGGTCAAAGAGGCGGGGATGGAGCCAGTAAAGGTGAGTGTAGGTGGGGAGGTAGGGAGGAGATAGGTCAGTCCAGGGAGGACGGACAGGTCAAGGGGGCGGGATGAGGTTAGTAGGTAGGAAATGGGGGTGCGGCTTGAGGTGGGAGGAGGGGATAGATGGGAGGAAGAACAGGTTAGGGAGGCGGGGACGAGCTGGGCAAACCTGCAGCCCAATGGTATCAATGTAGACTTCACAAGCTTCAAAATCTCCCCTCCCCCTGCCGCATCCCAAAACCAGCCCAGCTCATCCCCGCCTCCCTAACCTGTTCTTCCTCCCACCTATCCCCTCCTCCCACCTCAAGCCGCACCCCCATTTCCTACCTACTAACCTCATCCCGCCCCCTTGATCTGTCCGTCCTCCCTGGACTGACCTATCTCCTCCCTACCTCCCCACCTACACTCACCTTTCGTGGCTCCATGCCCACTATTTTGACCTCTCTGTTTCCTTTTCACCTATGTTCTCCTCTATCCATCTTCTATCCGCCTCCCCCACTCCCTATTTATTTCAGAACCCCGTTCCCCTCCCCCATTTCTGATGAAAGGTCTAGGCCCGAAACGTCAGCCTTCCTGCTCCTACGATGCTGCTTGGCCTGCTGTGTTCATCCAGCCCTGCACCTTGTTATCTCAGATAACCTGAGTTAGCTCAGTCTACATTTCATTGTTCCATATTGTGTCAAAGAAGAAAAATGGCAAGCATTCTCAAAGCTCTCGCAAAAATGAACTTTACAATTAAGGGTTAAGAAAACAGTCTTGTTAGTGACTGGGCACACAGCATTTAAAATAAACAATAATCTTGAATATGAAAAGCTCAACTGTCTCTTGCTGTGACTATGCATGTCCCATTGCTTCTGTTTCTAAGAGTGATGTCAATACAAAGAATGATTCCCCTTCTCTGTGTATTCTGCCTGAAGGTAGGTCCTTGGCTTATTGTTTACTGATGATCCATCCTGAGCCATTTTTCTTTGCAGTTTTCTGTTATCAATGGTAGTTTCCCATTACCTTGTGCTGCCAGAGATTGGATGAGGAGCAAGGTCCAAGTCTACTTCAAATGAAACAGGAATTAACCCATGATGTTGGAGTTATTCTAAAACAATATCTGGTCAGCATAGCTAATCTGCCCATCAAGGAATGATTACATATGTTATGAAGTTGTGTAGTGTAATTGTGAATTGGAAGGCAGGAAGCTAGAATTTGTTTGTAAAAGAAATGATAAGGGAGAAGAGTGTGTGGCTCCTTTAAGGGATAAAGTGCTTTTCTAAGCTTAGAGATTTATACAGAAAATGTGCCTAAGCAGCTGAAAGGGCACAGCCAGTTCTGTAATTGAAACACGTATCAATTGGCTTTGTGGTTGGAAACCTCAGGCTTGTTTTTATGTTTTGGCAATTAGCTGGAATGAGCCAATTGAATTTAAACCTGTTGGTTTTGACAATCTAAAAACAAAGCTATTGTAAGAAAATTGATATGTTACCCAAGCTATATAAGGAGAGGGTTTTGAAAATCAGTGTGAGAGCAAACCGCTATCTGAGAAATAAGCATATAGCTCTCACAAGAAATCACTAAGCTGTCAAAGAAAGCACCATCTATCCATAAAAGGTACCATGCACTTCTAGCTAAAAGTCCTCAAAGAAGACTTCACAGAGAAAACATCCATGACAGCTGGATTAGCAGAAGAAAGGCATTTATGACTTGAGAACAGCAGAAGAAATGCATGTAGACTTTGAGAGATTAAGTTTTAATTTATTTTCTTATTACTTGGGTTTATATAAGTAGGACTTGTGTTTATTGGAACAGCATACCAGTAGAATTTAGTTCAGTTTGGGAATAGTTAGTAGTTAAGGGGGCATTGTTAAGTTTGTTATTAATTCTGTTAATTTGTTCACCGTTAGGGTTAAATAAATAAATTTTTACTTGTTACTTATAAAGTGAATATCAGGGATTTTCTTTCATTTAACCTCCCCTTCTCCATTACAGTTTAACAGATTAGATGAGGTGAGGTGAGCTTCTCTCTGGGTGTTTTGGGTTTAATTATTAGAAGGGGACCTCTATTCCCATAACAGATTGGGGGCTTGTGTTTCAATTTTAATTATAAGAGGGGTTCAACCTCCCCTTCATAACACATATCTCTGTTGGATCCAAAGATAGTCATTTACACAAATCTCATCAACAAAGAATAGATAAAGCATATATGCAGTGAGCCTCTGGAAATGTTAATGTTCTTCCTACAAGGAAACAGGACATGTTCTAAACTATTTACGGTTTATAATAAAAATTCTAGTGTGGCAAAAACTGTACTTAAGTGTAGTACCTGTCACAACAAGTAAAGTCCTAGAATAATTTTGTGTCCACTATGAGGATTGTCCTCTCCTCACTAAAGTATAATCTACCTCCATAGAGTGTGATTCCCCAAGAAATTGTTGACTCAAAGACCTGAATTATTAAGAGTTGCATATCATTAATCCTCAAACTTCAATTTGTCTGTTAAGTATACCTGTCTTGTTTGTACTCAGTAATAATTTTCATGTCAAATGCATTGATCACATGACAGCTCAGGAGGGGAGGAACAAAAAGACACAAAGTTATGTGACAAATGTCACAATTCAAAGTTAAAGTATCAAATACATTGAAAGAAAAGAAAGCCCCTCATGTCACACTGTTTTTGTTTGAAAATGGCTTTTTCCCCAGAACAGAAGCAAGAGATTTACAATTTTTTTTCTAGTCGAAGGATATTCCCTAAGTCATTAGCCACGAATTGATTATTGGATATGTCTATTTTACTTAGGCCGCAGTGTGAACATTGGCTTGAAAGGGACAGACTAGATTAATTAACTTTCCTTCAACAGATAACATCATAAATGACCCAGACCTCAAACTATATGTAAGTAATGCCAGCTCATTAGTGCAGAGCTATTGAAAAGCTGAAGCCTTGAAGATAGTTTGTTCTCAGTTACTTTCATATAGCTATTATTTTGCAAGTGAACATTTTGGGTTGTTAATATGAAACAGTGATGCTGGGAATGGAATACATTGAACACTTATTATCCAACATTATGTGCCCTTGAAAAGAGTGACTTGCAAGGCTGTAACATAGGAGAGGTGAACATATAGACCAATGGAGATGGCACCCCAAAGGACATTAGTGTACTAGATTTTTTTTACAACAATCAATGATAGTTGTCATGATGTCCCCATTACTAAGATTAGCTTTATAATTCCACATTTATTAATAGAATTTAAATTCCACCAGCTAACATGATGGAATTTGAATTCATGTCCCCAAAGCAATCATTGTTAGTCCACTGACAATACCATTACACCACAATTGCTTTAAATATTATCTGGTCATATAGAGTGTAAAGTTTGGTCCAATAATGTACCTCTACCGCAATTGTTGGACAACATGTTCCATTGCATCTGAATAGTATTTTTCTATTTCCTTTCCCATCCAGCTTGTAGTCTGTCGCAATAAGATTGCAATTAGTCCCAAAATAATACTGCTTTATGCATTTACGGTTATATGCTTCAGGAAGTGGATTTGAACATATCAACATTACTTTCATGAAAATGCCTTCCAACCAACTGAGAAAGAAGATATTTATCAATCATTCTAGGTTAGATTTTAACCTATAGGCTGAAAGATCAGTGACCAATCAACTACACAATCCAATTTCTTGAATTACTTTTCTGCAGAATTCTGTCTATAGTTTCATTCCAGCAATTATATCCATTTAATATTTCTTTATTTCTCCTTGCTACAGTTTCACTGGAGATTCTAAAACCAGTTCAAGCATGCGCTATGTTGAAACCCAGTCCATGCAAATTGGGGCCTCATATATGTTGCAATTTAGCCTTGTGATGGGCTGTGGGAAGCTGTTTACATTGCATGTGGACAACCAAATCAGACTGGAGTACTCCACCAACCATGGCTTGACTTGGCACCTTGTGCAGGAGGTAAATATTTAAAATAAGTTTCAGGAGTCACTTCGTGATATAGTCAGAAACTTGCAGCTTATAGGAACATACAAACAATGAGACAGAGACCAGCCAGTCCAACAGGTTTGTTCTGCATAGTTATGGAATAATTAAACATCATGCTCCCACCTACTAACTTTCTAGTATGCACTAATTCATTTGATTTTATTTAAGCATTTCAACACATTAAAAGTAAAAAAAATTAAATTCTTCAAAGAGAAGTTAAGTCATTAAATGATAAATTCAGCGTATTTTTCTTTGAAGAGAATTGAGGCAGCAGTTTCAACTCTTGCTGCAGAAATATTCCCATCCAATGTAGTTCACTGTTATGATTGCTGAATTTATCCAACTTTGAATTAATATCATTCCTCTTACTGTTCAAAACTAATACAGTTTCATTTTAGTTGTTATCATAATCTTTTCAGAATGACCTAATAGGTTCAATGTTAAGCTTTGAGAAAATTAAATGAGCATACGCTTTGTCTGAATTGCGCCATTGAGAACACATTTTATATAAGTTGGATAGGAATATGTGGAGCTAGCTGAGCACTTTTTTTTATTGATTGCCAATAAAAGATGACCATGTGCAATGTCATGAATCTTAAGGCCCTAGTTTGTATTTCATTGCCTTTTCAATCTTGTACCTTGTGCCACATCTTGCCATAGATAACATTTAGTGATGCCACAAAGCAGCTTACAATTTCCGTACACCGATCCTATCAATCTCAGAATTTATTCTGTGGTGTCAAAACTTAGAAATATAGAAAATAGGAGCTGGAAATGATCTTTTGGCCCATTGGGCCCTCTCCACCATTCAGCATGATTATAGCTGATCCTGTATCTCAGCACTATACC